ATATATGTGTATATTAGATCAACCCTGGATGGCTATATAAACTCCTTTGCAAGAAACATGTGCTTCAAAGAATCTTCTAGATTTTTGCAAACATTTTCATTCATTGAGTTGCCATCAACAGCAATTTCACTCAAAAATGATTTCAAATTTCAAAGAACTTTCAGACATCTGTAAACATAGGGTGACCATACATCATCTTTGTCCTGGCTAGGATTTCTAAATTGCTCAAAAGGTCTAGGTTTTGGCATTTTTCTTATTTATTTTTCATACTTGCTGAAAGTAATGATTGAAAAGTAGTTTAACCATCAGTGTGCTGACATTGTACATAATCCACCAATCGTGGCATGGGAGAAGGTGGGATCTACAGAGAACAGCCAAAGCAGTACATAGGAATACGTGTGCATACAGTATAATGTATGAAGACTGCAGAAAGCATGTGAATAGGAAAACAAAGTCAAAACCTTGACATTTTAGGCAATGTAGAAATCCTTGCCAGGATGCATGGTCACCATATCAAACATCATCATTCACTGACTTTCCTTAGTAAATAATGAAGAAAGTTGAATAAACTATCTATCCAATCAAATATAAATAAATAAATAAATATATATATTTAATATTATATTTAACTCATTAATTTTGAAATGGTGACTGTGTCCCTGCAGCATTTAACACACAGCACGTCAACATTAAAGTGAAAAAGACAACAGTATTATCTGCACTTCATATAGACCAATGACGTTCAGCATGGTTTAGGCCTAATCTATGCTACACACTAATGTAGGCCTACTTAAAGTTAAGTCCCTGACATAGAGATTGTGATTGATGTTGAGGTTTGAGCACCATTAAAGAAGATCATGTCCCACAGAGACAGATGTCAAATGTAGTTCTGGGATATGAGTGACATGTGGCTGAGAGCGTTAATACTTTTGAGAAAGAACACCTGCTTCTCTAAGAGAAGAGGAATTCAGTCCAACAGGTAAAATATCGTCAGGCAGCCTTTACGGATTACATATGAGCTGATACAACAATAAAAAGGACTGACTTTTAAAGACAGTTTAAAGAAATAGAGAGCTCAAAGCCCTCCATCTCCCGTTCACAGCGGTCTCTTTGAAAGTTAACTTCACTCTGAATTAGGCCTACCCACCATTCCCTGCAGGCGTGGATTGACTATAATCTCACAGAGCTCCTAAAGTGTGGTTCAGAGAATTGCAGAGAGTCTTCTGTGGCAATGGCATAAAAGTGATAAAGCATAATTTACCTTGGTCTCAAATTAGTGCCTGATTGTTTTTAAGTGTTCTGTTTAAATTACTGTTAAATATAACTTAAGAGAGTAAGAATTATTATTATTAGTAGCAGCAGCAATTAGACATTATACATAAGCCTTTATAAATACACATAAACAATGTTATAAAAAAGATACAATAATGCAAAAAGACATCAAACAATAAAGAGCGGGGTGGTGAAAATGTAATTCAATTTTTAAACAGAAGGGGGTAGCAAGATTCTTAATAAAAGCTGACACTAAACTAGTCTGATGCTCAGTAAAGCACAGTAATTCTCAACCAGAGTCCTCAGCAAATTCACAAGACTACTTATATATTAAATCAGACTTAATTAAAATGCTTCAAACTGTTAATAAATTGAAGATCTACAACATGTAAACTGACATCATACTTCTCACTCAGGTTAAACTACATACTACCACTGCAACATAGCTGGATTGTGCAGAAGGGCTTTGAATATCGTCATGGACAATGGGGGGCCTTGGAATCAAAAAGAGTGAGAACCGGTGGAATAGCATATTCTTTTCTGGAGGAAAAAAAACAGGTATGGCTGAGGGATAAAAGCTGAGGCCTGGGGCTAACTATAGGCTACTCTTCAGCATTCCTCAACTCGCTTCCGCCCTGCTCTACAGCAGTGCAACTCCAGCAATACCAGGATCAATCCAGGGACATAAAGAAATCTATCCATCTATCTATCTATCTATCCATCTATCTATCTATCTATCTATCTATCTATCTATCTATCTATCTATCTATCTATCTATCTATCTATCTATCTATCTATCTATCTATCTATCTATCTGTCTACCCATCTATCTATCTGTTTTTCTCTATCTGTCTGTCTATCTATCTATCTGTCTACCCATCTATCTATCTGTTTGTCTATCTGTCTATCTATCTGTTTGTCTCTATCTGTCTATCTATCTGTCTGTCTATCTATCTGTTTTTCTCTATCTGTCTGTCTATCTGTCTATCTATCTATCTGTCTACCCATCTATCTATCTGTTTGTCTATATCTGTCTGTCTATCTATCTGTCTGTCTATCTATCTATCTGTATGTCTGTCTATCTGTATCTATCTATCTATCTATCTATCTGTTTGTCTCTATCTATCTATCTATCTATCTGTTTGTCTCTATCTATCTATCTATCTATCTGTTTGTCTCTATCTATCTATCTATCTATCTGTTTGTCTCTATCTATCTATCTATCTATCTGTTTGTCTCTATCTATCTATCTATCTATCTGTTTGTCTCTATCTATCTATCTATCTATCTGTCTATCGATCTACTATCTATCTGTCTGTCTGTCTGTCTCTCTGTATCTATCTCTCTGTCTGTATCGGTCGGTCTGTCTGTCTGTCCTGTTGTTTGCAGCAAGGCAAGTTTATTTATATAGCACATTTCATACACAATGGTAATTAAACGTGCTTTACATAAAATGAATTAAAATTAAAAAAATGTAAACAGATGTAAACAATACAAAAATTCATTCAGATTAAACTGTCAAACTGTTTTTAGAATGTAAGGATTATATATGTTATCTTTATGTTTATGGTTTTCATTTTCTGATTAATTCTGAAACGGTATCACTAAACTAGAAGGTTTGGAGTAACTTGCAGATTTATTCTTAAGATTTCAATTCACTCAAAAATTATATATATATGTATATATGGCTTTGAAGATAATTTGGTTAATTAATTAACTCACTGATTAAAAGACAGTATTAGGCCCATACTCTCATGTTCAATTTACTTTTGTGGTAAAGTCGTATGCAACCACATCCTCTTTTAACAGCAAGACCAAACTAAGATCCTGTTCTGACTGGCCCCTGTGACACCACAGACACCTTACTGACATCCTTTATCACTTTAGAAGTATAAATCTGAATGAACAAATATGTAATGATAATAAAATTGAGCAGAATGAGCAAATCTACATACTTGTATGTTTGCTATTTAAGGGATAATGTACAGACAGTCTGACATTATCACAAAAAAAAGTTTATTTTGGAATTATGACCAATTGGCTGTACATTATCATACTTTTTGTGCTGCATGGACATGAAACATATTTTATTAGCTTGTGGTCATTGTTCTGAAATATTTCAGTGCTGAAAGAGTTAAATTGACCAATCACAGTAAAGTATTCCATAATGTGGGATTACAATATTTGCCCTATTTTATTGCATTTAAATTGTCATAAATATCTCTTTTGGCATTTAAAGTGATGGTGCATCACTCTTGCTCTCTCTCATTCAATCATTTGTCTTATCATTCAGTAGCACTACCTGTCTCACAATGTCCTTGCTCTAAAAAAAAATCAATCTTTTACACATTCACAAAGCCAGTGCTTTAGATGATGGTGTTGTTCGTGTTTTTATAGCCAAACTGGTATGCTTTCATCAGCTCGAGAAAGTCTATTGCTATTGTATTGCAGCCTCGAGGGAATTCGGATATGACATGCTTTTTTTCTGAAAGCTCATTTTGCATTGACATGGTTTAGGGGGCTGTAAAATGATTGGGAAAATTCCCGCAGTGCTTTTTAGCCTCATATTGATGAGTGCAGTAGATGACATACGTCATGGTGCATCACCGAGTTGATAAATAGCCTATAAAAGCTAGCGTGGAAATTATTTTCATAGCAATGAAAAAAAACGTTTTGTTCTATCTGATGAGCTAACCCTGTTTTTCCACACACATAAACAAGAGTTTCTGCAGCCCCCAACGCCAGTCACTGGAGAAGCAGCCAAAAATATCACAATGTCTGAGAAATCCGTAAAAGGGAAGCTGTGTGTATTAACTGGCAGACCTCGATAAACAAGATCTCTGTCTATTGATCAAGACAGTCCTTTCACTTCCTTCTCGAGATGTGTTGTTCAGGCCTAGGCTTGTGCAGAACTTCCTGAGTGCAACAGAGCTGCTGGATTCAGAACAAGCCTCAAGAGGAACCGTTCAGAACTACGCCAATGTGCTTCTGTGTTTAAATTTATTTGACTTTCAGACTCATTTTGTGAGCACATTTAGACAATTTGTGACAAGCTCCATATTGCCGAGAGTGTGCCACTGATCTACACCAACTGTGGTTGAAATGAGAGGCCTACACATGTTACTTCCTGTTTGTGCAACAGTTTCCAGTCATGCAGATCATAAGAGATCTTATTTTGTCAAAAGTGTGCATGCATGACTTCATGGTTAGTCGTTTTAGATTTTTTCTCTTTTTTTTTACTCCTAGTAAGTTGAGGCAGCCCCTCAAGAAGTTTTTTGATGTGTTGACAGGGGCAGTGTTGAAAATCACAGGCTGCTCAGATACCAGCAGACTGGTGCTCTCAGCTTAGTGTAGTTTGATAGATCTGTTATGTAAGCTGTCAAAGTCCTTTTCGGAGCTTCTTGATGTGAAGAGGACTGTCAAGGCAGTCTGAATTCAACTCCCATATTGTGCTAGCAGACCCCAGTGTGAACCTTAAACGATTGGAAAGAATAACCACAACTGAAGTCTCTTTAATATCTAATTTAAGTCAGTTTAAATTGAGAGCAAACAGAGGCTTATGCTAAGTTGAGACAAAAATACCTTTTTTAATCATACATTCACACATTCTGCTTAAATTAAAAAAAATACGAAAGTTTTCAGTTAAGAGTAAGAAATATTAGAATTAACACAAAATGTATCATTAAATAGTTTTAATTTTAAGGGCTGTTTTGGGGTGTACTAGAGGAGCTCTTCCCATCCTAGCGCAGCTTCTCTTATCATTGTATAAATGTTTGAATTAAACTAAAATTCAGGAATTTTAAAATAACTATTGGGGCTTGAATGTTATCAAATGCTTGGCACTTCAGTCTCCTGTCCCCTTTCCACAGACATGTCAATCTGCACATGTCCGGTTTTCATGCACAAGAATGAAAAATTAACTTCTGAACATGTTCTAGGATTATGATTTTTATAAGTACATGTAATTCATAAAAAAACTGCAATTGTCTGTGACAAATAAAATAAAATTAGAATTTAAAGGCTCTTTCACACAAAGAATGATAACTGTACTATAAATGTATTAGCATCAACATCAATGCATTGTAATAGTGCTGGGCGGGTTAACCAAATTTTTTGTTTGTTTGTTTTTTTTCTTCGGATTCTGGTTTTATGGTTTATCATGGTTTGTCCCTGATTCTGCCTTTAAATGAATCAGATTGCATGAAACAGATTCCAAATTTAAAGCAATAACAGAATGGTCTGACTCTGACATTAGCTTTGAGAAATTATACTAAATAAAACATTTCTGCATGAACAGAAACAGCAGACGGGCTGAATGAAAGTGCAAATTCACTCTCAGACAGCAGGTGGCGCTTATGGCACAGCAGCGATAGACCGTTTCCTTGGATACTGCTGTAAACAAAGCAGCACTGTGAAAATACCATCTAAACTTTTCTGAAGACAGTCAGTTTCCCTCAGAGATACATTCATATAAACTCCCACCCCCAATTCAGTATTTCTTCCAATATTTCACACATGGTGAAATGAGTTTGCTCTGCCTGCTACAGTGTTTTCTCCTCTTTGCATTCGACTTCAGCATCTCTGGCTTCTGTTCACGGCCGTTTACAGTTAGTTTATTTTCCCAGATAAAGAATTAGTTATGTGTTATTAATAGTTCTCTAACCATTAGTCAGAAGTGTATGCAGTCAACAGGGATCTCCTCTCAATTCACTACGCTGTCTATGTTGCTTAGCCACTTGTACCGGTATGCTTTTTTTTTTTTTTCATTCTGTGTGCGTAATTCAAACCTGTGTACTGTTTGAACCGGTATATCACCCAGCACTATTTTGTAATGTTCAGTATATTATAAGAGCATGCTTCAGTTTTGTTGTCTGCAGCATTAAATGCTTGATTTATTTAATTGACCCTTCGCAGGGAGCTTGATTGACAGGCGATATAATGCAAAATCCACCATTTTGTCCGACAAACAAATCAGATAGGAGAGTAGAAAAATAATGTGTATTGACGTATTTCCGCGGTTGAAACAAGATACTTTCTCATGTTCGTTAATGTGTTTTTCATGCTAAACTAGTAAAAAGGAAGAGATGATCGGTTCACCTGCCGTTTGAACGGAGGTGCTACAGTGATCTGTAACATTAAAGAGCCACAAAATGGTATTTATTGTTTGAATTTCTTAAAAAATGACAACATTTGAAAGCTGAGACTTTGTTTCATACCTGCTCTGTCTTGTCTGTTGGTGTGTTGTTAGACCCTTTGCGAAGGGTCATTTGTGTGGATTCTGAATGGTTGTCAAAGTTTTTATTGTTCATCAGATTGAAAAATTTTTTTTTAAAGTGATTCCAACTGCGTTTCGTTATCATTATAGTACTGGTGTCGACTTCCTTATTCTCAGAGAATTAGAACGATTATTAACTTTATATTTATTATCGTTATAGGTATAGTCCTTGATGTAAATGTGCCTTAAATCAAACTTTCTTTTAACCTTGTTGTCATTTATCAAATTGCTGTGTTCTGAGTTCAATAATAAAGCCACACATAACTGTTTATTACAGTGATTTTACAACAGTTAAGGGTGTTTCACTTAGCGTCATCCCTAAAAACATCCTTTTCGCTTAGAAAAATCACCGTAACACACTGCCTTTATGGCTCATTGCTTCATTATACTAAAATATACATGCCACCTCCGATGCAATCTGTTGTGTCTTTACCAAGTTGACACATCAGATCATGTGCTGTTTGCTCCCTATCTTTGCACCAGACATGCAGAGAAATGCCGTAATGGGTCGGCGCACATAAACTCTCTCCTCACAAGTCTCTTGAAAAAGGGTTTGGCAATGCAGCACCACTCAGCAAGACGCTACCAATGGCAGAGCATCAAGGCCGCGTGAAATGCAGCGGCACGCCCAGTGTAACCTCCGACAGGTTCCTCTGACAGGTTGATGACCCCTGAGAGAGATGACAGAGCGACGTGCTGGAGAACTGCAAACTGATAGAAAGTCATCTTCGACTAAAGGAGAAAAAAACAATCCACCCAGCATGTTGCCCCTGAAGGAAAGAGCGAGAGAAAGAGAGAGAGAAGGGGAGATAAAAGGGGAAACAATATGATAGTTGATATAAAACGGGGGATGGTAGGAATAATAAGTGTCTCTAGAGAGCTGGAATGTGAAGACAGAGAAATAGAAGTGGGAATAAAGAGAACAGAGGAGCAAAGGAACCGTGTTTGTGTGCATGTGTGTGAGGAAGAGGATGAGATCATCGCAGTCTCCTGTCTAATGAGTGATGGGGTTGGGAGGCGTGCTGAACTGAGGCGGAGGGTTTGCTTCTCATGCCGGTGGAATCAATAGCGTCTGCAGACCGGAATACCGTTCCCACATTACTGCCTCATTGCCAACACTTCAGCCACGGCTCTTCTTCCAGCACGGATTACACTCAGATCGTGCATTGTGCATTTGTTCACTCCCTTACTTTCTTTCTCTATCTCTCACGTTCTGTCTCTCTACTATCTCTCCCCCCCCCCCCTCCCCCTCTCTCTCTAACTCGCTCTTTCTCTAGCCAACCCACACCCAGTGATTCTGTATCTTGGTTTTTTTGTGGTGGTAGGAAGGATGCTGCTGTGAATTCTTCTTTGAATGTGTTTTAGACACATTTTTTTCTATACCACAGGAGGTGTGCTTTCTGGAATTTTTTGGGAGTAATTTTTTTTGGGGAAACCTTGTTGAAAAGAGCTTACTCACAATGTTGGGCTTGGATGTTTGTGAATTTGGTGGACAGTTTCTTGAACTGCTCTGGTTAACAGTTTGCTACAGAGGTGAGGATGCATTCACGTTATCTATTATGAGATAAACATTTTGAAAAGTGAAATTATGACTAAACATACTACAATTAACTTGAAGGTGTGCATTTGGAAAGGGCTTTAAACTCCACAAAAAGACCTCAGATGATCTGCCAGTTTAATAGACCATACCTAAACCTTCAGCTAAAGTAGTTTGAAGCTTATTATGCATGGTGTTTAGTAGTTGCAATGTATCATAAAACCTATTTACAATTCAAATAGATCTTTAAAATCAAGTAGAAAGTCATATATGTGATCATTTCGTGAGATGACTTCCTCTGTGGATGTAGACATTTTTATTGTTGGCATGTGATGCAGTTAAAACAAGCAAAGGTGGATTGATCAATATGTATTGATCAATCTGTTGTTGCACTCACAACATTGCTTTGTGTGTGTGATCATCATGTTGCTTGTAATTATATGTCACAGATGTTGTTGATTCAGGGCTTCACTCTGCAGAGCTTCTGATTACTGACACCAATCCAGTGTTTCTCACTCCCAATTTGCCTCTTTATCAGTGTCTTCCACTCCCTTAGTGTCTCCATTTCACTTTGATATCTAGGAAGTAATGATGTGTGACAAATGAACACCTGTCTTTATGTGTAAAGTGAAGGGTAAATGTACATATGTGTGCTTTTGCTATCTGAGATTCCTATAGAGCGTGGGTTCACTGTAAGCATTCCCATTAATCTCAATGGCAGTTGCTTGGATGACGCAGGACTCCCCTATATGATTTTGTGCACGGATGTTCAGTTTTGCTGGTGTTTTGAGCAAGTTACCTGACTAACTGTTCTATGGACAGGGAAATATGTAAATATGAAATCAATTTAACTCTTAACCCCTATTTTATTATAATATACTATAATTAAATATTTGGGACAATTTTTGCAACCGAATGGTGTAGTTAAAACATCTTCCAACAGGAGTTAATTGGTCCATGCTAACCAACTAATCGCAACCCGATTCACAAGAAACAAATTAGTTTGATAAAGTTTGAATTTCATATGAATTTGTAATTCTTATGAAAATGTGTGATTTTATTTTTTTTTGTAAAAAAGAAAAGAAAAAAAGGCATGAACCTGCACCTAAACCTAACCTTGGTGGGGCAGGTGAATTGTCACAAGACGAAACCTAGATCTCTTGTATCTGACTCAAATCTGTTCGCTTTTTGTAGTTTTTTTGTTGACGAAACCTAGATCTCTTGTATCTGACTCAAATCTGTTCGCTTTTTGTAGTTTTTTTGTTGACGAAACCTAGATCTCTTGTATCTGACTCAAATCTGTTCGCTTTTTGTAGTTTGAACAGCAAAACAACACATGAAATCCAAAGTTTACAAACCTGATTCATATCAAATTCAGTGTGAAGTCTGATCAAACTCTTTTTGGAATGTCTTAAGCGAAATTAACATGCAAAAATGGTCCATTATCTATTGTCAATAGTGTAAAGATGCATTAAGCACTGCTCACAGAAGTCACTTTCAAACCAAGAAGATTTCTGTTGGTCAGCATGGTAAATTCGCCCAACCAACTTGAACGAAACCTGTGTGGTGCACTTTTTTCACCTTCACACAAATCTCCTGATTGTGTGGATGTGACCACACCTTCATATTGATACTTCGGATATCGACAACACTGTATACACTGTGTATACTGTATATACAGTGCAGATAATTCAGTCCTCAAGATTGGATTTGAAAACTGAACTGGATTTGTGTGGCAGAGTAGTGTGAAGCAGGCTGATCCCAGTCGAGTCAATGGTGTTTAGAAAAGGCTCACAAAACCAGGCTCACAAAACCAGGCACCGGTGCATGGGTTTCTCAGCTCGGTCTCTGCTGGACTGCAGGTGCTGACACGCTAAGACCCCCTGTGACCCAGCAGAGCAGCATCACGACTCAATGAGCCTCAACTGCTGCTGTGCTGTGATGGATGGCTGCACGTCAGAGACCTGACACATGTTTAAAGGAGTGAATCAATTAGATTGCATGTAGGAGAGATTTAAAAAAGCTGATGTGTTTGTGCACCCTGTAGAGAAAGGCTATATGAATGAGGAAGATCACATGCATAATTTCCCTTCCCTTCATGCTGTCAGGTGTTCAGCTGGTTTCTCACATTACAGCTACTGTCAGATTAACAATCTTGAGAATTTACATGTCACTTAGTCCCCAACTTCTACATGTACTAGTACTCTTTTTAACATTTTGGTACCTGTTCTTCTTTTCTTTTTGAATATATGTAATTCTCTAAATTACGTGTTATGAGAATAGTTTATAAATCTGTTGTCAAAAAAAAAAAAAAAATCTTTAAGGTCTTTCAGTGGTTTTCAGCCAAAATAAATGCTCTGTAGTTCAAAGATTAAAAGCAAAGAAATCATATGATTTATTAAATTCTCAATTTGTATTATTACAATTGTAATATTTCTTATTTTGTTTAATATTTATTTGAAATATTATATTTTATTTGAGTAATAATAATATAAAATAATATTAATAATTTTTAATTTATAGTCATATTGATATATAATCAAATTCAAATATAAGCCAAATTGTGCAGCCCCTACAAACAGGCACAGCAAACCTGGAGCTTTTTTTTTTTTTTTTTTTACCAGAAAAAAATATATAGAATTAGCTTTTTAAAAAATGTATGGTTATGTTGTCAGATTGCCTAATAGTACTTTTAATGTATTTTATACTTAAAATCAGTGCACAAAAACAAAGACAGTCGGTAGATTTTGTCTGGGCCTGTTTTACTTGTTGAATTTCCTCAAAGTTTTCTTTGGCATCATCTTGTAAATAAGTGTATTCCTGCTGTGTTGTTTCAATACATTACAACCGAAACCTTCTGTGACAGTGTCAAATGGCTTGCAGGGTTTTGTCTATGAATATTTGTGCAGATTTCTGGCCTGCTGTGGGTTGTGATGTTTCTGACTTACAGGATCAGGGTTTGCAGATATGCATGCATTACTCTCGACTTTGCTCTCAGTTAGCAGAGAGGCTGCACTTTGTCACTCAAGTTAACAGAGAAGCTGCACGGCTTCAAAGTAGTTGAGAAAGTGGAGTATTGTGAGGGTTGCAGAGTAGCTGAAAGTGTTAATGTACAGGGTGAATTTAGTTACACCAGCCGCTGAGCTGGCTTCCATCTTAGAGCAAACTGTGACCATAAATTCAGACAAGATATTCATACAAAAAATATTTACTATAACACGCTGTACTTTGACACATAAGTGAGTGAACAACAAAGTCAGTGTTCTTGTGGTCCTTATTTGACATTTTTAAACCCTGAGGGGTTTATTGCCCTTTGCAAGGGTCTTACATTAATGCTAGTCTAAAAAGAGTAAGGTTTGTGCGGTCTTCAGAAACCCTAGTGGGCCTTCCATTCATCTGCTGAAAGTCCACTGAATATTTGGGTGTACAGCTGTTGTGTGTTGAGTATGAGAGACTGCAGTTTGTCAGCGCTGTTTGCTCGTTCACACTCCACCTCATTAGCTGTGCACTGAAACCTGCAGCACGCCATCAGACAAAAACCAGCATGCTATCCATCACAATCTAGCCAGGCATTTAACTGCTTCTACTGATCAAAGCGGACCAAAGCATGTTGCCTTTGAAGCTCGAGATGCTGCGCCTTACATATTTCACTCAGAAATTATATCTCCGGAGGGTGGGGAAAGCTAATTAAAAAAAGCTTGTCAGATTCTTCAAAGTATTATCACTGCTATTTAACACAGCTGAGCAAGGGTAATAACTGTCATTCTTCTCTTTGCTAGTGTTTTTTAGAGCAGTGCTTTTCAATTGGTGGGTCGCGATATAAAAATGGCTGCTGGTCTGATCTGATAGGATCGTGGACAAGAGGGGCTAGCCTAGATGCTAAAAATATGATTGTGCATAGTTAGGATAATAAAATAAATACCTTGTTGGCAGAGACTATTTACACATGCACCAACATGGTTGGGTTAGACAACATTACAAAAGATGGCCAAATAATAACTTCAGTGGCGGTAAATTGCGTAGAGTAGACGGTAAATCACGTAGAGTAAGCGTTTTGACGCGATCGACCCGAGACCTTTGGCTGAACTCATTGTTCTCCCTTTTCACAATAGAAATGAAGGAAATAAAGTATCGGATAAGGTAAGTGTATGTTTTATAATGTACCACAGTACTTGCCAATATTTGCAAAAAGTAGTATAAATAGCAGAAAATTCTGCTTTTTTTATATAATGTAAATAAAATCTATTGCTATTTGCAATTAGTGTAAATAGCATATATCGATAAGAAAATATGCTATTTTCACTTAGTATAGGCTAAATAGCATCTAATTGCTATTTACATTTAGTGCAAATAGGCGCTGCCAAATAAATAGGCTTTATTTATTTATTTATTTACTCATTTGGGTGCTGAGAGCATGAAACCATAATATTTTTGCAAATATCAATTTTCTGTATCATTGTCTCAATAATTTGTCTCAATAGTAATATTGTCAATCCTGTGTGGTAATATTAATTAATTTCCATGTCTGATTTAAGGGCATTTTGTACATTACAGATACATTAAACAACTTTGTCACTATATAATCTGGATCCTGAAGCAAAACCAGTTGAGAACCAAAAATTAAAGGTATTTTAGGAGATGTTCTTTTTTATGATTTTTTGATATTAACACTTTTAGTCACATTATGAACAATTACAACTGATTAGATGTTAACTTGTGCACATTGAGAGGAGAACAGTGATGTTTACTGCTTTAATGTGCAATATTAATATGTATCACATTGCAGTTTTGAGATGCCATCATCATTATGCTGAAAACATGCCCTGAAATGCCATGAAAATGTATCTATAATCATCCTTAATGCACTCCCTCACTACATAGTTAATTTTGCTTGTAATTTACAGTGAGAATCTTGGCATTGGCTTGTGGATATGCTTTAAATTGTCCAATTAGTCCAGTCATGTATTCAGTGTGACCAGGCCTCCCTGTAGTGAATCTCAACTCAGGGGATTTGATTTGTGTGTTCGATGTGCGAGATATTTAATTGGTGTGCATTTTTTAGCAATATTTAAGCTATAATTGCACATGGATAATTAACTAAATAGCCCTATTATGCACAGGATATTGGTCCAAAGGACTCTAGTGTGCAAAACGTGGCCACACTTGAGTAAAATGTCACAACACTGCAGTCAGTTCAGGCGTTTCCATTTTGCACAAGAGTCGACTGTTGATTAATATTCCAAATTTCCCCTCTCACACTTCATTACCACGTTCATCTGTACACATTCAGATTGTTTATTTCTCACTAATTAGTAGGTTAATTGACTCGCATTGTCTTCTGCAGCTGGAGTATACCGAATGTCTCTGGAAATTGTGCATCTTCCTCATAAACTATACTCTGACCTACTTGTCCTTCCTCAAATTGTCTTCCTGGATAGAGTGGGCTTTTTCCACAGGTTTAATTTATGTAGAGATACAGAATTCATTCCCACATTTTCCTACCTTTTTGTTGGAGGAAATTGGCTCCCTATTTTTATATACAGCAGCAGCATGTGAGTGTCATGGTCCTTGAGCTACTGCTATATAATGCAAAAGGAGATGGTGGTATATATTTATTAGATGGTATCAGTGAAAATCGCTCTTATAAAACTAATGGCGTATTAGAGAGTGACCCTCAGAAACACCCTATTGATTCTATCAGATCAGATGTTATAGCCCCGTCCTTCCATTATTACATTTGCCTTCACATTACAGCACTTAGGGTTTTTGTTCTCCTTTCATAATGTAAGGAAGGTTCATCATCACTCTTGATAATCATTGGGAAAGAGGACATATGCATGTTTCCATGGCTGCTGAGGCAGATTTGGCCTAGACAGCGTCGACACACGATACATAAAACCAGCCGGGGCATATAAAACATATAAACCTGGGTGGGGGTGCTTCTGTCTTTTTTCTTTGTTCATCCTCAGCTGTGTTCAGGAACATCTGTCCTCCAAGAGCTTTGCTTGTTCTCTCCCAGGCTAATGAAAGCGATCATGTCATGTTTCGGATGTTATCACTTCCCATGAATTCGGTAAACGTTGGGGTCCAGTGACTGTTTTTAAAGTATTCAAGCCACATATCCCATCTTTTTTTGTTGTGAGAGCTATAAGATATTCTTGATAAACTATTATCTAATGTAAAATTAATCTATAGGGTGAAAACTAGCTAGTTTTAAATGCATCCAATATCTGTCCCTCCCCTGAAAATGGTAGTTTTTGCCTCGCCTTACCTCAGAGATCTTTAATTTCCAAACTGTATCCATTACTTTAAATCATAATTGTGACATAATCTGTTGGTTTGATGGGCAGATTTGGCCTAGACAGCGTCGACACACGATACATAAAACCAGCCGGGGCATATAAAACATATAAACCTGGGTGGGGGTGCTTCTGTCTTTTTTCTTTGTTCATCCTCAGCTGTGTTCAGGAACATCTGTCCTCCAAGAGCTTTGCTTGTTCTCTCCCAGGCTAATGAAAGCGATCATGTCATGTTTCGGATGTTATCACTTCCCATGAATTCGGTAAACGTTGGGGTCCAGTGACTGTTTTTAAAGTATTCAAGCCACATATCCCATCTTTTTTTGTTGTGAGAGCTATAAGATATTCTTGATAAACTATTATCTAATGTAAAATGAATCTATAGGGTGAAAACTAGCTAGTTTTAAATGCATCCAATATCTGTCCCTCCCCTGAAAATGGTAGTTTTTGCCTCGCCTTACCTCAGAGATCTTTAATTTCCAAACTGTATCCATTACTTAAAATCATAATTGTGACATAATCTGTTGGTTTGATATTCAGCACATTTTAGTAAAACATATTTTAAATGTATTTTAATTACCGACAATATTATTATGCTATTATTGATTGATTTACCCCTGGTTTCACAGACAAGGCTTAAGCCTAGTCCTAGACTAAAATGTAAGTCTGAGCTGTGTCAGCTGAAAGAAACTTGCACTGACTGATCTTAAAATATATCAGTGCCTTTGTTTTGTCTCAAGATGCACACCAGTAATGTGTTTTCTAAGGCATGTTTATGAAAAATTACTTCAATGTCCTAATTGATCTATGGCCTACTCCTGGCTTAGTCTAAGCCCTGTCTGTGAAACCAGGCCATAGTGTTTGTTAGTGAACGTTTGTTGCTAGAAAATTACAAAGTTGTCCAAATCCAGAATTAAAGCTGTATTTACGCATGTCAGGCTTAGTTTCTAACAGGGTTGCAAAAACTACACAACTCAGAAATGATGTAGAAAATAAAACGGCTCATATAATATTGAGTATGACCTCCTAAGGTTGGCAATTAATAATTTGTGAAGGTTAAAGAGTTTGAGGCCCCATTTTATTACCACGTTCATCTGTACACATTCAGATTGTTTATTTCTCACTAATTAGTAGGTTAATTGACTCGCATTGTCTTCTGCAGCTGGAGTATACCGAATGTCTCTGGAAATTGTGCATCTTCCTCATAAACTATACTCTGACCTACTTGTCCTTCCTCAAATTGTCTTCCTGGATAGAGTGGGCTTTTTCCACAGGTTTAATTTATGTAGAGATACAGAATTCATTCCCACATTTTCCTACCTTTTTGTTGGAGGAAATTGGCTCCCTATTTTTATATACAGCAGCAGCATGTGAGTGTCATGGTCCTTGAGCTACTGCTATATAATGCAAAAGGAGATGGTGGTATATATTTATTAGATGGTATCAGTGAAAATCGCTCTTATAAAACTAATGGCGTATTAGAGAGTGACCCTCAGAAACACCCTATTGATTCTATCAGATCAGATGTTATAGCCCCGTCCTTCCATTATTACATTTGCCTTCACATTACAGCACTTAGGGTTTTTGTTCTCCTTTCATAATGTAAGGAAGGTTCATCATCACTCTTGATAATCATTGGGAAAGAGGACATATGCATGTTTCCATGGCTGCTGAGGCAGATTTGGCCTAGACAGCGTCGACACACGATACATAAAACCAGCCGGGGCATATAAAACATATAAACCTGGGTGGGGGTGCTTCTGTCTTTTTTCTTTGTTCATCCTCAGCTGTGTTCAGGAACATCTGTCCTCCAAGAGCTTTGCTTGTTCTCTCCCAGGCTAATGAAAGCGATCATGTCATGTTTCGGATGTTATCACTTCCCATGAATTCGGTAAACGTTGGGGTCCAGTGACTGTTTTTAAAGTATTCAAGCCACATATCCCATCTTTTTTTGTTGTGAGAGCTATAAGATATTCTTGATAAACTATTATCTAATGTAAAATTAATCTATAGGGTGAAAACTAGCTAGTTTTAAATGCATCCAATATCTGTCCCTCCCCTGAAAATGGTAGTTTTTGCCTCGCCTTACCTCAGAGATCTTTAATTTCCAAACTGTATCCATTACTTAAAATCATAATTGTGACATAATCTGTTGGTTTGATATTCAGCACATTTTAGTAAAACATATTTTAAATGTATTTTAATTACCGACAATATTATTATGCTATTATTGATTGATTTACCCCTGGTTTCACAGACAAGGCTTAAGCCTAGTCCTAGACTAAAATGTAAGTCTGAGCTGTGTCAGCTGAAAGAAACTTGCACTGACTGATCTTAAAATATATCAGTGCCTTTGTTTTGTCTCAAGATGCACACCAATAATGTGTTTTCTAAGGCATGTTTATGAAAAATTACTTCAATGTCCTAATTGATCTATGGCCTACTCCTGGCTTAGTCTAAGCCCTGTCTGTGAAACCAGGCCATAGTGTTTGTTAGTGAATGTTTGTTGCTAGAAAATTACAAAGTTGTCCAAATCCAGAATTAAAACTGTATTTACGCATGTCAGGCTTAGTTTCTAACAGGGTTGCAAAAACTACACAACTCAGAAATTATGTAGAAAATAAAACGGCTCATATAATATTGAGTATGACCTCCTAAGATTGGCAATTAATAATTTGTGAAGGTTAAAGAGTTTGAGGCCCCATTTTGTACCCTATTTGTGCAGTATATTTCTGTACAACACTTACACAAGACTGCTTCTCCAGGGGAGTTCTGTGGACATTACAGTTCAGCTCTCTTAATTCACATGACAAATTGTTGTCCCTGTTCTTGGCCTTCTGCATGGAGAGCAGTTTTCTAGGTCTTTATTTTCCTCTTTTTCTCTGAGGAGTAATACGTCAGCTGTCTGCTTGCCGAGTCTCCAGTAATTATGAGCTGTTACGCTGAAACGCAGTGTGTTGGTTGTGACAATAAAAACATGTTTTTCAATGTCTGACATGTGGCTGAATTAATAAAAGCAATGATTTCTTTAAAGTGATTTGCTAAAACGAGACTGGCTCATTATAATTAAACAGGGACAGAAGATTCAGTTGCTTTTTTTGCTGTATATATTGTCAGACTGTGGGCATTTAGCTAGGAACCATCTCTCAAATGAGCTGAATAGAAATTAAATTATCAGTGTATTGCTCTGCGACGTGAGGATTACAACAAATGACTCTGAATATTAAAAGAGATAAATGTGCAAATCTGTTATCTCTAACAGTGTTAGCGAATCTGAATTGGTTTGTGTTTCAGGCCTAAACAGTGTGTGAGAGGTAGAAAGATAACAGAAAATACATTCAGTCTGTCTTTTATCAGAGTCTGTAGAACCATGAAAGAATCACATAGAACATCGCAAACCATATACACTCTTAAAAATAAAGGTGCTTCAAAAGGTTCTTCACAGCGATGCCATAGAAGAACCATTTTTGGTTCCACAAAGAACCATTCAGTCAAAGGTTTTTTAAAGAACCATCTCTTTCTTACCTTTTTATAATTCAGATGTTAAAGGTTCTTTATGGAACCATTTAGACAAAAAGGTTCTTCTGTGGCATCGTGAAGCACCTTTATTTTTAAAAGTGTAGTTTAACGGCTCAAAGATTTCACACTAGATTTTTACACTGATAGTTCAATATCTGGCCATTTTATGCTTTTACCAGACTCTACAAACTTGATCATGACTAGCCTGCTGAAGCCCTTTTCAAAACCACTCCAGAAATATGGTCAAAAAGCTATAAAGTAATATTAAAAAGGCAAAATTCTAAATTCTAGTCGATTTTAATGCAAGTCAAGAATAGAAACAGAAACCATGAACTACACCTAAATTCAGAGGGAAATGGTAAATTATAAAAATTATAGAATCTGATTGGTAAATAAGAATGTTATTTGTTGTGAAATCGTGCTAAGATTGATTTGTATGTGAAGATGCATAAGAATGTTATCTTAAACATATTGAGATGCAACAGATGAAGATTATTTTCCTTTCTAATGCCCTTCATCCCTGTTTTTCTCAGGCATAATGGCTGACAAAGATAAAGATGTGCCAGTGGTTGAGGATGAAGATGAGCCAGATCTGAACTACCAGCCTCCGGCTCAGAAGAGCCTGCAGGAGATCCAGGAACTGGACAAGGATGATGAAAGCCTGAACAAGTACAAGCAAACCCTCCTGGGTTCTGGACCTGTGGTGGCAGGTTAGTGTACCTTCACTAAAAACCAGGACACTATTTTTGAAACACGCCTACTGTATGTATGTGCACACTATTCATTATATATATATTATACAGTTAGGTTTTTTTTGAGAAAGAATACTTTTATTCAATAAGGATGCATTAAATTGATCTAAAGTGGCAGTAAAGACATTTGTAATGTAACAAAAGTTTTGTATTTCACATAAATGTTTTTTTTTTTTTAACTTTCTATATATCAAAGAATGCACAAAAAAATGTATGATTGGTTTCCACAAGAATATTAAGCAGGACAACTGTTTTCAACATTGATGATAATAAAAACATGTTTTCTGAGCACCAAATCAGCATATAAGGATAAGACGTTCTTGCTGAAAAGTCAGCTTTGCAATCACAGAAATAAATGACATTTTAAAATCTATTTGAATAGAAAAAAATTAAATTGCAATAATATTTTACTGCATTTTTACTGTATTTTTTTTAACAAATGCAGCCTTAGTAGCACAAGAGATGTCAAACAAACAAACAAATACATAAATAAATTATTGCAAAAGAAATGTGCCAGTGAGCATTTGATAACATTTTTAGTGGATCACATTCTCACCAAACAACAAAATGATTAGAATCTTACTGATATTTGACCCACATTTATAGAGGCGCACAAATAATGACTGTTTCAAAGAGTCTCATCTTCTGAAGATTGCATTGTCTTCATGTTTAAAGCTGTAACCCGGCTCTGCAGGGACGGCTCTCCCTTCTCCTCCTGCTGTCTAGACTGATTCAGTCCCCCCGGGGGACTCCAGTATTGGTTCAAAGCCCCCAAACAATATCCTCTTAACTCAGAGAAAGAAGGAGAAGGTGGCTATCACTTAGTCTGAAGAGCATGGCTTTGAACTGCTTTGTTGTTTAGAGAAACATGAAACATGAATTATAATTCCACTCACTGCGTAACGCTGGATAATTTGCACTTGATAGTCTGTCCCGCCGTACAATGCATTAATTATAAGATCAGTTATTGTATTTCTCGCTCAGTTATTGAGTGAAATAGCTTTGTTTCTTTTCTTTTTCCCTTCATGAAGAATTGTTTCTGTGATATTATGATCAAAGCCCAGCAATCCTAATTTCTTTTACCACAGGGAAATCCAAATATACTCTTTAAATCCTTTAAGTGTGAGCTGGAAATACTTGCTGATACAGTGTTGCTAAAGGCATAAAAGGCAGATTAATTTCCTCTTGACTCATAGGGGTTTAGAACGCTTGATTTAGATGCAATTTAATTTTCTGTTGCGAATCAATCAACTGTGGTAATTTCTTTCCTCTTTTTTTCATTCGAATGCAACTTGTGGGTATTTACCTTGTGAGTCCTCTGATTCATAAATGATTCATCTTTGTTTTGTTGGTTATGGCCAGGTTAATAATAGCCTTCTTTGAATATGCTGGAATGTAAATGGCAGCTTGTGCTGGTGTTTTATAGCGTTTTGTGTTTCAGTGTAATGACCGAAAGATCTGCTTACAGAGATCATCATGACTAGTCAGACCAAAAAGTACATCATCTTTTGTCTCTGAGGACTATGATACAAACCCTTTCTTATATCCTCATTTGCTATATTGTGTATAGAATGAAAATTGTGTCATAACTTGCTCACCCTCATGTCATTCCAAACCTGTATGTTAAGATTGGTGTTATTTTAGTCGTTTTTATATATTTTTTTATTCAATCCAATTTTATTTTATTTTATTATCGGTTTTCATTTTAATTTTTGGTTTAATCTTGCTTTTGTCATTTTTTTAAATATTATTCTTTAGTTTAATTTATTATTATTTCTTTTTTTAGTTCATAAATGTATCCAGTTAGTACTTAGTTACCAAGACAACATTTCTAATTGTAATAATCTAATAATAATGAACAGTACATTATTAAAAAAAATTATCCTTTTGCTCCACGGAGGAAAACATATGGGTAAATGATAGCCAATTTTTCATTTTTGCTGAACTAACCCCCTCACTGGGACTGAAAACACTGGAAATATGAAGCAGGTTTGTCTTGACGTCCATTAATTTGCCATAAGATTTCCTGAGATATAATAGCGGGATTGTGCCAGGGTGATCAGTCATGTTTGGTGCGTGCGGTCCCCGGTGCACAGTTTAGCGAGTGAGCATGCCTGCGGCGGGTAGTGCCGCTTGTAGCCATCAGTAGATGATTAACTGTAGTTCCCACTTTTAAAACCAGCCCACCCTGCGTCAATAACACTGCATCAATGAGACCCGTCCAACAATTTGTTATGTGCAGTTTTACACCGCTAGCTCCCTCTTGGCAGTGCAGAAACAATCATTCAGTGGAACAGTAGAGTTAAATGCCTAATTTAAGCTAGTCACCTGCCCCGCGTGCTTCACGGGACAACTTCTTCGAAGTATGGAAGTTCACACATCAAACCTTCACTCTCATATTGTTTCCCAGAGTTTTAAATGTCACTTTTTACATCACACAAGGCCATTGTATGCCTTCAGAAGACTTGAAATATAGCATATGAACCGCTTTTATAGTGCTTTTGTGGTGCTTTTTGGGTGTTCTTTTGTCCCTTTATAGAGCTTGACAGACATAGTCACAATGCACTATTGTTGTATTCAGATTCAGAAATTCTCCTTTTATGTTCCATTGAATAACAGCATACAGGTTTGGAATGACATGAGGGTGACTAAATAATGACTGAATTTTCGTTTTGAGGTGAGCTGTACCTTTAAGGGGTGGGGCAGCTGCAGCTCTATCACAGTTAAATGTGCTGAGGCTGCATGCTGGGGTCACTAACCCGCAGCAGCTCTGTGTCCACCTAAACCCTGACAGGCCCGATCTATTTCTGTAATGGGCGGCGCTCCTATGGACACAAGAAACTAGGGAGGGAATGCATGGCGGTTCATTAGCAACACTGACTGACAAGACGTTAAATGCCTCCTTATCTCATAACGAAGGTGATTATGTTTGTGAAAGACACCGTAGCTCTGTTCCATAACCTAGTGAGCTGCATTTTAAAGAAGCGTTGGTGCGTTCCTGATTCAAAGGCTGTTGCAAAAATAGGCAACTTAATTATGCTGCCTTTTAAGATGAATTTTCCACCCCAAAGGGCACCATTGCAGAAAAGGCAATTACAGAATGTATGGCAACAAGTTCAGTGAAAAATCCGATCAAAGATTGCAGATAAATAATGAAAATGAATTTAATAATACTGCAAAAAAAAATTATGTTCCTAAAAGTATTAATAAAAATAGTTCAGTGTTATTAAAAATGGTTAATTTAACCAATATTTTTGCTGTATAGTTTTATGCTTAAAGTATCTTCTAATTAGCTTAGCAATATACTAATGTCATACTGTTGAAATCAGCTTTACCCAATATTTGTGTGCATTTTATGAGTAATCAGAGTATTGTTCCGTTAGCTTAGGTCCATGCTAATGTCACTCTCTATTGAAATCAGTTTTACCCAATATTTGTGTGTATTTTTTATATGTATTTTCTTGAGTAATTATTTGTCCCATTAGCTTAGCAACATGCTAACATCATACGGTTAAAATCTATTTTACCCAATATTTGTGCGTAATTTTGAGTAATCAGAATTTCGTGCCATTAGCTTAGCACCATGCTAATATCAATCTCTATTAAAATCAGGTTTATCCAATATTTGTATTTTTAAAATGCATTTTTATTAATTATTAGACTACCATCCGTTAGCATAATAACATGCTCAATTGTCAATTATGAGTCATGTTTCCTGTGTGCTGTGTAGCGTGTTCAAAATCTATCCATTACCATTAGGATGCTGTCCGTGTTGGCTGTAGGAATTAAGTCAGCTCACTCGGTTTTGGAACACAGCTTTTCATAGACGACAGATGAAACAAAGGAAATGAGTGTGAATTGTATGGCTGGAAAGAGCTGTCTTTCCACAAACTTGAATTGATGATGTTCATGTGCACATATCTGAGATGATTAATGTGTCTTATTTACACACTGACTGGTCAGTTCATTGCAGGTGCACATGGTGGCCTTTTTTTTGCCTTCCCGTTTTCACTCAATTTAGTCTAGTCTAAGTGTCTTCCCTCTGGTCTGAGACACATGATGAATGTGTGGATGAATCGGCTTGGAAGATTGACTGGGCCAGTAATGCTGGATAGGCAGGATTCGCAAGAATGGACAGATTCTGTTGTTTTTCTCAGCCAGACTTGCAGTGCTACTGACAAGAATGATAACTCAAATTGTGCGGAAGATGTGCGCTATTACTGTTCTAAGCGATCAGGCTTGCAGTTTTTACCTGATAAAATGGGCAAGAAAATCATGCAGACTTAAAATGAAGGAGAATCCTGAGTCATGTCAAAGGATTGAATAGGTTAAGGTTAGTTTCAGGGTTTAGTCGTTTTACACATGTGGAGGTTTCCCACTTGAAGTGTCTTGATTGGTTACCTATAGTAAGCAGATTAGAACATATTAAATTAAAAATGGTACATAAGATTATCAATAACAGAGCTCCTTCATATTTTAATGCATTTTTTCCTAGGGTAAATGAGCAACATTGTTATAAAACTAGGCAAAGTCTCATGGATATTACATTATGTCGTTTTAAAACTATGTATGGTCGTAGGTCTTTTAGATATTCTGGGGCACTTTTGTGGAATAGGTTACCTCTGGACATTAAAGGTATTTCGAATATTTCGAAAATTTGTTCTTAAGTAGGTTGTTTTGTTGATGAATTTGTATTTTTACGTATGTGGTTATTTGTGACTGTACATTTTTGTAGATGTGGAATTTAATTGTAATTTTTGTATTTATAATGCAGTGCCAGTGTACCTGTTACCGGGAGTGAAGTTTGTGCTTTACATCAAGGACCACAATGGAAATAAGTTTTGTTTTAAACTTTTTTGTGTTATCCTTGACGAATAGAGTGTATTCACTACTTTTTTTGTCAAAATAAACAAACAAACAAAGGATCAGAAAACCTTTTAGATTTAAAGTAGGCACTTTTGACTTTTGCCAGTGGGCAACCATCTAGAAACACCCTAGCATTATATAGCACTGTGCTAAAATCGCTCAGAACACTTTAGCAACCACATACAACTGTTATTTAACCAGAAACTAAATTATTACAGCCAGTAAACACTCACAGTCGAACTGCTGAAATGAAATCAACATGCTAATGTCAAACTTATTGTTTTATTCACTACGGGAAAAAGGCTACTCTGATGAATAAGTTGGTTACAGGTACCAAATGTAGAGCAGAATGTGTTTTCAGTTTCTCATCTGTTTTATTCATTGCATTGTAGATCCCAGCATTCCTAATGTTCAGGTGACCCGACTCACTCTGATGTGTGACCAGGCCCCTGGACCCATCACCATGGACCTGACAGGTGAGTCTCACCTGAACAATTATTCAACAAGTGTTGTATAATTCACGCATAATCCAGTTCACTTACAATGAGGGCTGGCTATCACTTAAAAATATAATTGACTTCAGATTTATCAGATATACAAATACTGACTGTGACTGTGTTGTATTTGTTTTGCTTTAATAGATTATTTTTTATTATTTTACACACAGTATTTTTAATATAATTAATTGTACTAAAGTAATACTACATTGGCTAGTGTTATTTTAGTACTACTTATATATTTAGTATTTAGAAATAGCTTTTATTTTTGTATTTTCAGTTTTCATGTTAATTTTAGTTAATGTTTTAGTACATTTGTTTGTGATTTTGTCATTTGTTTTTACTTTAATAGATTATTTGTATTATTTTACACACAGTATTTTTAATATTATTAATTGTACTAAATTGACCAGTGTTATTTTAGCATTACTTATATACCATCTAGGATTAATTAATATTTTAAAATAGCATTTATTTTTGCATATGCAGTTTTCATTTTCATTTTGGTTAATGCTTTTGTAAATTTGTTGTGTGATTTTGTCATTTGTTTTACTTTAATACAGTATTTCTTATTATTGTACGCACAATATTTTTGATATTATTAATTGTACTAAAGTAATTGACCAGTGTTATTTTAGTATTGCATAATATACCGTTTAGTATTTATTAATATATTGAAATGGCTTTTGTTTGTGCATTTTCAGTTTTCATCTTAATTTGGTCATTTTTAGTAGTTTTCTTTGTGTTTTTAGATATATTTCTATATAGCTTTAATTGATTTTTATTTCAGTTTAGTTTTAGTAATTTTAGTACTTATAATAATTTCATTTGGTTGCAAAGGCAGCATTTCTAATTTTAGTTTTTTCATCTAATGTGTATATTTTATTACATTTCAGCTGTATTTCAAACAAAGAAATCGAATCAATTCAAATGAAAATTATTTGTAATAGTTCGGTTTTAGTTAACAATAACAACACTGACATTGACAGCCCTATTTCAAATCCATAGCATCCAGTTTGCATTATTTGCATGATTAGTATTCGCAGGATAATAGTCGTGTGGGTTGAGGTAAGTGGGTTGAATCTGCGGTCTCTATTGTCCACACAAAGGCTTCTGGTCAAGAGCTGGAAGGGCATGTGCTTAGTTGACACTATTGACAGAGGCGCAGCAGCTCTGCACTGCATTCTAATGCTTCACCTCCCCTGCCTTCAGAGGGATGATGTCATTCCTTCCCCTGCCAGCCAACATCACGCAAGCAGATCTGCAACACAAATCAACGTACACTGCTGCATGTAGCCACGTCCCGCCTCGATACACTGAAGGGGCCTGTCGGGTCTTTTGACGGTCAGAGCAGGTTTCTGCCGCCCTCCTTTGCCCTCAGCCGGTTTAACAGTGTGTTTCTCTCTTTAACAACGGGAGCACGGCAAAAGGGCACCTGGTTGCTAGGCAATGGGATGATTCTGGGCTGTTTAAGTCAGAGCTTTAAAGTAAGAAGAAGACCTTTTCAGATATAAAATCTGTAACTATCATTCACAGCGTAAAGAACCTATGCACCAGCACGTTTCGTCTTTTAGAACAAAACCAGAAGTGACTTTGTGGTTTGAGTTGGTACAGGAAGGTATGAGGGGCCGTACAAGCCATAATTCATTCTGGCACTCTCACACATTTACATTCTCCTTTCACATACATATATTTTTGCTTTCACACACTTACATTCTCCTTTCACATACATATATTTTTGCTTTCACACACTTACATTCTCCTTTCACATACATATATTTTTGCTTTCACACACTTACATTCTCCTTTCACATACATATATTTCTACTCTCACACACTTACATTCTCCTTACACATACATACATACATTCTATATATATATATATATAGAATGTATGTATGTATGTGTAAGGAGAATGTAAGTGTGTGAGAGTAGAAATATATGTATGTGAAAGGAGAATGTAAATGTGTGAAAGCAAACATATATGTATGTGAAAGGAGAATGTAAGTGTGTGAGAGTAGAAATATATGTATGTGAAAGGAGAATGTAA